CACATGGCAATAAAAGGATTCTGCCTCTGATTCTGAATTGATATGCAATGAAGATTTCAATGTAGGTGTAATGCGAGATCTTCTATATATAAATGACCAGATGACAGAGCAACTCCAATCCTGTTGACAGCTGTAACTCAATATGCGGAAGACCCTATATGCAAAACAATCATTAGCCTATTGCATTATGGATATTACAATAGCCAATATGTTGATGATATCCATAAATCCATTTGGTCAGAGCCTCAGAGGTAGTAGAAGAATACACGTGCGTGGTCTGTGGCTGCTTTTAAAATGCTGTTTGCGGTTCACGTGGACTGAAATGCAAGCTCACAGGTTAGGACAGATCACTGCTCAATTTCAAATGTCTTACTGCATCTGTGTTTGCGGCAACTTTAATATCATCTTTACATGTCCAGTCATTGGCCACTAACCAGAGCTGAAAGGTATAATGGGGTTATTGGGGAGGGCTGGGGAAAAGGAGAGGAACTGGATAAAATCTATGCTACAGTTGAAAGGATGAGTGGTTTTTACTAACACCTGGTTCTGTGAATGTCTTCATTAGCCTTAATCAACATGAAGAAACGTGGACCGGTTATGTGTTGATGGTAAATACAAGCCTTTTCAAAAAGCCAGATATACCTATGTTTGTATGTTATTTAGAATTTACTGCTATTAACGAGATGCGTCTAGGATGGTAAGGGAATTCCAGTTTTATTGACACATTTTAAAACATAGATACATTTTTGCAAACAAACTTACAACATAATGTTAAAGTCAAAAGGAAATACAAGGATATTCAAAGATAACCTTGCATACAATGTCCATAATAACCCTTTGCACCCCCAACCCCTGTTCAATCCAGGCACCAGCATGTATTGACAATTTTGCATCAATTTCTGGAGGCCTCTTATCAAGAGTGACACAACCTTTCTGCACTGTCAGATCAGAGTAATATTTCGGCCTTTTATGTGGATCGATTGGCCAGTTTGGGGCTACTGAGGGGAGGAGAGGCGGAGCACTCCAAAGGTCAACTGAAGCGCTAAATCATTTGAAGATTCTTAATGAAGGGTGTGTGGCGGACACACCTGCTGCTTTCATTACAGCGCTCTGCAAAGAGATAATAGTGTTGATAAGAGAATGGATCGCCAGAGTCTGCTGCAGGAAATAGGACAGAATGACAGAAATTGCCCTAAAAAGCAATGTTTCCCTGTAAGAAGACCTTCACCAAGGTCAAGAGATGCTTACTGGTAGCTCTTCCAATCGCATCTGTTATTTCAAAACAGTCTCCAGTGTGAATGTTTTAACCTTTGCTATAGAAAAAGGAGCACCAAGGTTACACATATGTACCATGGGGGATGGCGGCGAGAAAATATAAAGTATTTATGTCATGCACAGCAAGGCAGCGCTGCCCCGAGTGACTTTTACATATGTTAAACACTGATTGAAGAAAGTGCACTTCCTGCCTGCACATCTGCCGACAGAGCAGCTCAGCCAAAAAGCCCAATATTTACATTCCTCCATCTCCGCAGCCGCTGCTTCGGTATGCCGCTCACAAGGAAAAGGATGATGCTCTGGTACAAATTTGCAATGATGTTGTATCTGCAAAGCCAGTCATTCTGACACACAATTAGAGCAGCTCACTGAGTATTGATGTTAACGGGGATTGTTGTTGCTGCTAATGAACAGAAGCATATTAAGAAATCACAAGTAATAAGTAACACACTTGTTGAAGACGAAGACGTGCAATATCCTGCAAGGGTTCAATACTTTGACCTGATAATTCAATAAAATATTCAATACCAGTAAAGTTCAAGGTTTAACATATTTTGCAAACCTCTTTTTTCTTTTTTAGAATTACATCAGAAACAAACCTGGTGTCATTTTTAGATCTAGATGTTGCCTAATATTTTGTTTGGGGAATTTCATCAGACAATCAGTAGCTCAGTTGGTAGAGCATTGGCCTTAAGGCCTGAAGGTCGTGGGTTCAATTCCCACTTCTCCACCGACTCCCACTGATGACTGCGGTTGGTGTGTCCTTGGGCAAGACACTTAACCCCACTTTTCCCAAAGCCCCCACTGAAAGATCAAGGCTATGCTCACACTCAGAGAGCAGCCGTCCTCCTGTGGACTCACCACCTGCAGAGGGTCAGTGAGGGGCTGGTGCTATGAGACTTGGGTGGCATCTCTGATTGCCACCCCCCTGACCCAGAAATGGATTAAAGGGTAGAAAATGGATGGATGGATGGATGAATTTCATCAGACAATTCATACTTTCACACAGCAAGCCTTAAATTAGATCACACAATTGAAATATAAAATTCGACAAGTCCTGTTGTGCTTGAACTCTTACACATCCAGCAGCCAAATGTTGGAAATTAGGAATATGGACACTTTTTTTACTTTGAGTTAGTTGCAAATCCAATTATTGCCAAGGAAAAAAATGTCATAACAGAAACATTATTTCTCCCTTTACCTCTTTATAAATGCCGCACAGAAACGAAATACAAATAAAATATCGCACAAGTCTGTCAAAGAAATATTATGAAAAGAAATCAAACAACATAATTTATAAAACTCAATGCATGAATAATAAAATATCCCTGAAATTAATTAAGTAATTAAACTACCAATATACTAAATGCAAAAAATTAAAAATGGACCAGACAACTCATGTGGCGCTAAAATGGTGAGAATAAGGGTGGGTCTAAAGTCTAGACTTAACAAAACTATAACCAGGGACTGCAGATGGAAACTAGCTCTAATCAAGAACATATCTGTCTCTCTGGGTTGAGTGTATCTGTGATGAACTTAACCTAACTGGTGAGGTGGTTTGATGTGCGAGGACGGGACTGGTTTCCAAGCTTTGGTCCAGCCACAGAGAAGGCCCTGTCCCCAGCTGGCAGCCCAACCTAGTGAGGGGCTAGTCCATTTGGGGCGACAGTAGCTCAATTGGTGGAGCATTGGCCTTTGAGCCTGAAGGCCGTTGGTTCGAGCCCACCACAAGACTTTCTCCACCGACTCCCACTGATGTCTGCTGTTGTTGTGTCCTTGGCAAGACACTTAACCTCTGGGAACACCTGATGCCACAGTGGGGCGGCTGCGGCTGCCAAACTGCTGTTGTGTCCTTAGGCAAGACACTTTACCCCCATTGCCTAGAATGAGTCTGGTGTGTGTGTGAATGGTTGGTGATGGTGGGAGGGGCTGATGGCACAGACTGGCTGCCTCACTTCTGTCAGTGTGCCCCAGGGCAGCTGTGGCTACAGTAGTAGTTTATCACCACTGTGTATGGTGTGAATGAATAATGACACATGTGAAGCGTCTTTGACTGTCCAGAAAAGGGCCATATCAAACCGATGCATTATTATTACTATTATTATTATTCAAAGCTGCACTAACTGACTTTATTTTCGTATTCATTACAAAAGAGCTATCCATATCGATGTAGTGCATTGGGATATACGTCCTTTTGAAGAAAAAGTAGCGCAGATTTGTGCTGGCGTGTTATATTTTAGATTGAATTTTGATGAAACAAGATGTTTCGGGTCGCAGATAGTGACCAATCACAGCGCACCACTAGCCCCCACTTTTGTGAGAAATCTACAGGTCCGTTAGCACAGACAGCTGAGTTAGCACAACAAGCGGCGGAGCTAACCTGAAGCTTCCTCGTCTTTGTCACCGGTTACTGCTTACACAGCGAGACAGCCATCCAAAAGAAAGTGCCGTTCCTCCGCGCTTCCCGGTTCTATCATTCTATGGCCATGCCATCCACGTGCAAATACATATGCATTTATTTATCCATATTGGGAGACGCTAGCTCCATCCCAACAGTGGGTGTGTGTGGGGGGGCGATAGCTTCGTGGGTGCGGGGAGGGGAGCAGAAAGAGCAAGGCCAGCGAGTCCGCGGCTTCAAAATCCCAAGTCAGTTAGTGCAGCTTTAAAGCTATCTAATAAATTTCAAATGATTCCACATTAAACTTGAAATTCAAAATGCATACTAGTTATGTGTAAAATAAAATCTCCGCTCACATACATTCTACAGCATCCAAGGTTGCACAGAAATATGTCCAATGCCGCATTAACAATCCCACAATATGCACAGACTTCCCTCCACTCCTCCTCATCTGTGACTGTTTGCATCAAATGTACGGCAAGGTCACCGGCGCATGTCTCTCCTCTCTCCCAGGGCGCCTCCTCCAGCCTGGTGGTAAAGTTTGCCGACACTGATAAGGAGCGGACCATCAGACGCATGCAGCAGATGGTGGGGCAGTTCGGTATCTTCAACCCGGCCATCGCCCTTCCCTTCAGCACCTACAGCTCCTATGCACATGCGGTGAGTGGGAAAAGACATATGCACGAGTCAAACGGTCACGCCACGAGCTGTTACAAGCGCTTATGGCAGATGTTTTAGATGTAAAAGGTTTGATTGTAGGGCTCTTTGGGTTAATTTAGCTATTAAAGCTGGGGTGCCTCACTTTTGTCTAGCAAAAGCTGCAACATTAACAAATCAGATCACAACATGCTGTTTTCATCTTATTAGAAAACAGTAAGTAGAGAGCTAAGGGTGGTCTTTTTCACTTTTCTGACTGAAAAAGCTGAGAAAAGAAGCCAAAAATGGGTATTTGCACATTTACATCAGACTCAAGTCAATAAAGCATTTTGTCCCCTTTAAAAAGTGAATGGAAAATGAGGCTGAATGAGAAGCAAATCTAGGTTTTGCAATAACATTCAAACATTATCGGCATAGTATATTTAAAAGGAAACACCAGTAACCAGCTCAAACAATAACACTATGTACATTTTTAAGTATTTTAATATAGCACTTTATTTCCAACCACCCCATTTACAATGCCCCCTATTGATTTTAATTAACCCAAACTCTTAAAAGTACGCAGAATCACCTTCAGTCTCTCTCTCTTTCATTCCCTCTGTATTAGCATGGCTGCCATACCATTAAATCTGGAGCTTGTCTATCCTGGGCACGTAGACCCCCCTCCCAGGCTTCTCTCCCCCTCATCAGCTCCCCTCTGCGCCCCCGTAACCTCACTGCAACTGGGGCCGGAGCACAGACCCCCAGCCTCTTTGATAAGTTCAGACATGGCAGCCTGCACACAGACCCCTGATCCACCCCTATTACTGGCCCCACACCTCCCTCCGGGCCCTCGGGACTCCTCCAGGGGCCGTGATCGACTGAGAATATTGCATGGGCATCTTTATCTGCACACAAACTTTCTTCTCTCTCCCCGCCGTGGATCGAGCGGGAGTAAAAAATCAAGCACATGCCGAGAAGCTCACCTGAGGAAATGAAAAAGCTTCAAATTCAATAAGGAGATTTAAAAAGAGCAAATCTGTCGACGTTATAAACATGTCTGTGGCTATTATGCACAAGATGTTTCTTTGGGCGCGTATTCAAAAGTCCATTGGTTTTTGTGAAAAGAAATATTGTTCACAGGTACTCAAAGGGATAAGGATGCATCAGAACGCATTTTGGATGAGCAAATCAAAGTAAAGCTGGGGTACCTAACTTAAAAACATTTTAACTATGCAATAAAATCTATATAACTTTGTTGCTTTCAAAACGGTTTGGTTCTATCCCAAGATTCCAAATGCAGATTGTTTTGGCCTCTGTCTCAAATGTAGATCAGATATTTTATACAGAAAAGTGAAAAAGAGAGGACATTTGGCTCTTTCTTACGAGCAAAGGAAAGACAGCATGTTGCGGTCAGTTTTGTTTATTAGTTTTACTAGAGGCTTTCTGTTGGACAAACCACATTGAATATGTTTGAAACAAATAAGTTAGGTAACCTAGCTTTAATTACAGAACAAGTGGTTTTATTTTTGTTTTTAATTCACCAATGCGGTTTTACAACTTTTTTTTTTTTCTCTGACATTGTGTGTTTTTCCGATGTCCCACATCTTTGCACTTTCTAAATGTCAGAATTAATTGTTGATGTTAGCCGAGGTCTTGTGGGGGCTTATCCATTTCCCTCATTTTCATATCACAGCCACAGGAGCCGGTGCGAAATGTGCAAATTGACCATCCCGGAGTAATTGCGGGGCCATCTCTTCGTGCGCGTCGCTCTCCAGCAAAAACTCTCCACCTTCATTACCATTCATGAAATGCGGGCCTTTCCCAGGATATGTGGAGAAATGCTAATGTTTTAAGGCCATTGGTTGAAGCGGTAGCAGCAGTGGTGGTCTGCTGGGAAAGCATTGTACTCAGTCAGTTTGGCCATGACTCCGATTTACTGTGCCACAACCCATGTCGGATGTAGACACGTCCTGCAGTCGGTAAATACGCACAGGCCTGCTTCCTCTACCTTTGCTCATCCAATCACACAGAGAATAGGCCAAGGAAATTGAGTGAAGGCAACAAAGGCACATGGAAGCTCCAGTAGAATCAATTACCATTAAATCTACAGAGGAAATTGCATGTTCTGTGTTTGGATTGTGCATAATAAAACAGAGGGAAGGGAAATTCACTATTGGAGTATTGAGTAGAAGGAGAGATGGTGGTATGAAATACCATTAAAGGGAAAATTTCATCTTTAAACATTCTAAAAACAATGGCAGAGCTAATTATTTCCTCAGCTGATCAAGAACAAAATGATAACGTGCACTTTATGTTTCGGTTCACTTTAACTGGACCAAGTCTGTTAAAGACTCATTAGATTACTCGTTACACACCCAAAATAAGTCATTAATTGATTCTAAAACTAGAATGAAAACCTTTTTCTATCTATGTAGATTGCGGTACAGTTAAAGCCAGTGGGGACAGTTCCTGGATCAAAAAGGTCCATGAGTGTGTGCGCTAACACACACCTGCAATACCACTTTGGGCTGGTGGGGGTGGACCCAGAAAGAGAATTACCCAATGCTTTTGTATGGCGCCTTCTTACCTCTCTAAACTGGCTTTAAAGGATGCTCCAAAAGTTGGCTCTTGGCCCAACGCTAAGTTCCAGGTGTGTGTCAATGTTGAGGGTTTTTTTATAGACCAGTCTTGTTAAGCCACTGTGGTCTTCAGAAGGAACTCGCTAAATGAATGGGGCTTGTGCCTGAGTTCTGTCGAGTTGAACTGCCTCAGCTGTTAATGATGTAATGTAAACCTCTGCATGCACGTTTCACTGCAGCCGAAGCAAACCAAGATGGCGGACATATAGTCCGTGAAGTCTGTGTAAAAAATTCAAATACGAACAAATTAATACACAGATGTCACTTTTAATGCAATTTGAGGCGAGATGTTGATGGTTCCATGTTTTGATAGGTGGGTTTTAAGAGTCAAAGTTTTGTGTAAAGTTTGGTTTAAGAAGTCGACTGCTCCTGTGTAACCACACTGCTGCTGTGTGATAGCAGTACCTTTCCTGTCGAGTTGAGCTGCGGCATACGTCATTTTACTAATTTAGGTTGATCGACAGCTAACAGCTAACATCGGGTTGATAATGGAAATAATAACCACAATCTTAGTTGTAAGGTATTAGCTCTAAAGTTAGCCACAGGACGCGTCATCAGCCTACTTCAGAAAAATGACGTATGCGGCAGATCAACTCGACAAGAGGATCACACAGTAGCAGTGTGGTTTCACTGGAGCAGTTAAACTGATTACTGGGGGCAACAGTTGCTCAGTTGGTAGAGCATTGCCCTTTAAGCCTGAAGCTCGTGGGTTCGAGCCCACCACAAGACATTCTCCACCGACTCCCACTGATGTAGTTCATCACCACCGTGTTTGGAGTGATAGAATAATGACATGTAAAGCGTCTTTGAGTGTCCAAAAAAGCGCTGTATAAAACCGATGCCTTATTATTATTATTAAACCAAACTTTTAATGAAACTTTGACTCTTAAAACCCTCGTATAACAACATGGAAGTGAGTGAAGTTCAGTGATTATATATTACAGGGTTCCACACACCTCGAATTGGGAAACATACTGTATATTATATTTATATATATATTATATTTGTAGTTTTTATCAGGGTCCTCGTACAATCCTCTGATTAAAAGGAAATTGAAACTATTATAGTAGCATCCAGCTCTGTTGAAAAAGAAGAAACAAAGAAAGAAATTCGCTCGAGAAAGTGCGAGGCGAGAGACAACCTTGGAGATAAACCCGAGTTGGATAAAGTAATGAGTTCACAAGAGGCAGTAATGGATTATCAGTGTGCTCCTTGTTTTCATATCTGCAGCTAAAGACTGGGATAATGAATCTAAATAGCACTGAATGTGTAATAATGTGGAATAAAGGGACATATTAGTAATCTTTACAGTGGGTGTCCGGCTTCACATTAGTGTCTCAGCGCTGGCTACATGCACACAGTGTGACGCCGAATGTTGCTTCGTGGAAAGATAAAGCGTACATTCCCCCCAGACGGAAAAGCAGCAGTGACAGAAAAGAAAGGTTTATCTCCAAAGACACACTGCATTTCGCCTACTCGATGCATGCGCTGGCCAAGAAGAGAGGAGGCGGAATGTGGCATATATAGACACGGAGCCATGCGCGCTATTGCTATAACCAGTATACAGTAAATAGTACATTCAAAAAAGAGCCACCTCTCCACTGCAGCTCTGGGTAGGATTATAGAGTTGAGCTGACAGGCAGTAAATTGGATTTTAGTCAAACCAGGAGCAGGAGGGGGGTACACCGAACACAAATTGGAGGGGTACAACGGTGACAACATGTGGCAAAAATGAGAAAATTGCCATTTTCAGGATACACTCAGACACGGGTGTGATATGACAGGAGACATCCCATTTGTAAAAAGAAAAGAAAAAACGAGAGAGCAAATAGTGATTTTATAAAACACAAGGCGACTGTGGGCTCGCACAATCATGCAGTAATTATAGGAAACACTGCATTTTATATTTTAGTTTTGCAAAAGGGAAATGTGGTGAGTAAAAATGGCTACACATGACATGAGTAAATATAAAAGCAAGCCTAAGATGATTCATTTGCACCGAATGCGCTCTATGCACGCACCACTTCCGCGTTTTAGCTACAACCCCACTTCACTTCCTGTGCGCGGGGAACGGCTTGAGTTTCACTGGAGTTCAGCAGTGGTTTACACGAGTTTCCCAAATAATGCTCAAACAGGAATTAAACTGTGGATACTGGGCATTTTTAGGACGCAGCAGTGCTTTCTGATTGTGCTGTCATTGTAAGTAAGTAATGTTAGTAAGTAATGTTTATTTATATACTATATATATATATATTGTGCTTTTATAAAGTTAAAGGGCCCACTTTTCTCTGCTTTAAACATGATTACAGTGCTATTTGGCCTTCATACACATGCCCAGAGTAGTTTATTCATTGATTCTGTCAATCTTTAGTAAGAGAGCGATCTGTCTCCTTCAGCCTCGAGAGGCACAGAAACGCTCGGGTCCACTTCAGTGACAAAAACCACACTGATGACGCATATGACGCGCATAAGCTCGTTTTCTTTGTATTTAAAATAGTTTTTAAATACTTTCGTCAAAACGGGGTAAACAATACACAATTAGTATGCTGTTTGTTTTCAAAAATAATAAAAATAAAAATAAATTAAAAGCTGGCGGGAGGTGATTGACGGATCAAAACAGCGAATCAGAGCGCATAGGCTCCGGCTCCCGAGTCCAGCGTCTGTGGCTTGGTCTCCGGACACCACATAGAGCTGCTGTTTTTATGCTTTTGTCAGCAACTAAAAGTGTTAGGATCACGTCAACTTGAATGAAATGTGTTTTGGGTCTAAATATGTGACGCACTATTTGGCCCGAAGAGGAAGAAAGCGGCTCGACTTTTTTCATCTGTTCATCTCATGGATCTATTATAATACCGGTTCGTCTGCGACACTTCACTGAGACTGTTCCAGAACTACAGAGACAATGGAACTGGACTTACTCAAAGGCTGATCTGGAAACACGTTATTCCCACGGTAAAAGACGTAACACGGACCCCCCGATTTGTGAGTAAAGTGACGCTAACTCGCCGTATACTTTTTTAAACTAAATAATCAGGGTCTGATTGTGCATCGAGGACATAGGGCTCAATGTGACTGATTGTCATTGGAAAAAGTTTATTCTTATGTATGAAATGACTATGTACCAGTGATAAACGACAAGAGCGTGATGCTACGTCACCGTGCGGGCGGGGGG